CACTCATAGACTCATAGTGTTTATTAAATTTGTACGTTTATATGATTTTGAAAACCAATATATAATGCTAACTATTAAAAGCAAATCTATTAGAATCAGTTCACTTTTTACCATTTCATTATTATCACACAAAACTCTATTTAGTTATGGTGTTTTTTTTTTGGGCAAAGTTATGGTGTTTTTATTTTGTTATCATTATACTATTTTAATGATCAACTTCTTATCATGCAAATTAAACATCGGATAATGTTTTTGTTATCAGTTAAGTTTGCCATTCGATTTAATTGTGACTGTAAATAAAAGAGTTTTTAAAAACTTATATATTGTTGTTTTGCTATTGCTTTTTGTTCATCCGTTTGTCAAAAATATTCCATATATTTACATAAGTGCACGAATAGAGACTACATATGTGTATAGCATTTAGTGTTAATTTAATTTTTTCCTTTAACACACATGAGATGTATAACGGCGGATTTTGGAGTCATGTGATGTGAGGTTGCTTCGCTGTTGTAATTTGTGTTCTCCCTTTTAACCCTTTTTTTTGTCAAGTGTGATAATGAATCATACGGTTTAGGTGCGGTTCTTTTCGATTTAGACAACCGACATAATTTTAGGTTGAATTGGAATAGAAATTCATGTGGTTCGATTTCCTTAATGAATATTTACCACTAAACCTACATACAATGTGAATGTGGATGGATTGTTTGATGACTAACTCATGGGGATGATTAACATGTCTGCATCAGTCTATATATAATTATTATATTGTCTACCTAAATATCATGGAGGAAAATGTATATAATAATTTGTACAAAACAACAGACAAGACAAATTAAAAAATGGAACCATTACTTAAGGATTCCATAAATCACCCGGAGAATAAAAATATATTTGTATAATTTAAAGAATAAAATAAGTAAATAGATTCTGCTGCAAGAAGATTAGAAATTATACGAGCGTAAGGCTAGCAATTAGTGAAGTTTAGAGTAGAGATTGCCTAAATATTAAACGATTAAAGTTTGAACAAGTGAGAAAAGGGTTGATACTAGTGTGGGTCCACATATAGGATTCATTAATAACTTCAAAAGGGGTAATAAAACTTGCGATTATTTTTTTTAAAAGTTGGTAGATCCATATATATCTGTATAGTAAAAAACTATGAATATATATATAAAAAAACATCCTAGTTATTTTCAACCTCCGTGAAAATAGGACGCAAGATATAAAGTGAAATTCAAATTCACGATGAAATTGAATCATAGAGTAGATTATACAGTATAGTCTCTTTATTAATTATGATATTTTGTAAATGTGAATTGTTGATGGATTAATACAGTAAAGGTTAGACTAGGGAGTGTAAAAAAGAAGGGGGTAAAAGAAAAAAAGTAGAGGAAAATAAAGGGTAGAAAAGGAAATATCGAAGATCACATGGGAAGAGGAGGCATGTGGGTTATGAGTTATCTACGCCACTTTGATCTTTCCATGTGGTTTTACCTCTCAGTTTATCTGTCTCCAGCTCACTCTTTTTTTTTTTCTCTAATTAATTCTCGATTTTTATTTATATTTTCGCTTACAAGTTAAGAAAAACTCTGTGAAAATGTTAATTAGCAAATCCACCTTCGAATTCAATATAACAATAGAGTCATTTTTATCAGGTGGTTTGTAAATCAAGAACCCTTTTTATTGTAATGATAATGTGTGGGAAAAGAAAATGAAAAGAAGAAAGGCAAAAACAAATCGAAAGATAAAAAGAGAGCGGAGAGGCTCTTGTGAATAAGGAAAGGGCAAAAGAGGTGAAAGAGAGGAAAAAAACAAAGGCCACTTCACATTCTTTCTTTTGCCTTTCTTTTTGAGAATTTTGATCACACGATTCATATTTTTACCTTTTCCCTCCCTTCCAATTTTGTACAAATATTTACGATAAGGCTTTGATAAATTTGTCATATGGCTTAATCTCATGGGCCATATTTTTCTTACTAGCCCAAAACCACAAGTTTTTTGGGCCAAGCTTGTAGTTATTCTTTTTCACTTCAGAATTTTTCTTTGTTTATCGGTAAAGAGAGAGTTCTATGAAAGTGAAAGCAATCCTACCTTTTATGTTTTGTTTTGTTTTTTTTCCTTGAAAATAAAATGCAGATTCAAGTAGATTCTTCAATCACGTAAAAGCTCATGGCCTCCTCGTCTTAGAGAGAATCAATTCCCAAAAGAAGAAAGCTGTAGTTTTAGAGCAGTCGTATAGGACATAACTAAGCTTAGCTACTGTATAATTTTGAAGTTAAGCAAACTGTTACATATTGTTACCACTTCTTGATACAAATACATTGGTCTTTGATCAATTTTGACAACAAAAAAGATAATTAAATGAGTTATAATATAATAAAATCAAGAAAGTTAAAATGCTCTAATCCTCATAATTGAGCACCCAATACTATTCGTTTCAATTCCAAAGCCATTCTTTCATTCTCAAGTTTCATCATTTCATTTTCCATCTTCATTCTTTCAAGCTTCTGGTCATTTATCTGACTAAACATCTCCCACTTGATTCGTTGTCTCTTCAGCTCCATCGACTCAGCTTGAATCTGAAGCTTGCGTTCTTCTAACTCGAAGGACTTAGACTCAATCCACTGCCTCTTCTGTAAGCTAGCAGCTTTCACACCTTCTCCTAACATTCATCGTTTCACGAGATAACCCTTACTGCATTCTTGAGAATTCATATGACCATAATCTTCATGGCTCTGGTTTCGTCTTATTCTCTTCAACGAACCACCAAGCGCTCCATGATGAAGTCCCCTACACTCATAGTCATCATCACCTTCCACATCTGTATCCTCATCATCATCAAGTTGTTTCGCTTGCTCATCATCATCATGATCGTCACCATCTCTGAGCGTCAAGTGAAGGGATCGCTGTAATGCAGGATCATGAGGCAAATGCAACCTGTTCCCGTTATGGTATGAACACATCTCCTCGTAGAAAAGATGTTTCGAGCTCATGATTCTCCTAACTTCGTCTTTCTCTCTCTCGTTCAAATAATCAATCGCATACAAGAGCGAAGGATCCTCAACGACCTCGCAGCAAGTTCCTCTACCAAGCATCTCGTTCAGCTTCTTGTACCTCTTGTTAAGATCGTTGAACTTATCCTCGCACTGCTGAGGCAAAACACGGTAGTCTCTTTCGTCCATGGCTTTGGAAACTGATCTCCACTTACTTTTCTTCTACAAAGCTGCGAACTTTCTCCCATGTCTATCGTCCTCACCGAGGTAAGAAAGAGCGGTTATCATCAGCTTCACCATCTTATCCATCCATTTCACTCGTTGCCAAGGAGGGTTCTTCTTGGACTTGTTTGGCTCATTGTGACCATCATCATCATCATCGTCTTCGCTCGTAGAGTTCTTCCCTCTTTCGCCATTGTTACGATGAGCACACACTTGGCTTGCAACCACAGTGAAAGGAAGACCCGAGTCGTGACGAGAATTGGGATGATGACGAAAATCGAATCCTCCGTAAGAAGTCTCACCTCGAACAATGCCTCCTTGCGAACAATTTTCTTCCATTTCTGTGTAAAATCCTGGATCAGAGAAAACCAACACACAGTCTTCTTCTCCACTCCAAAATCAAATTTTGATGAATCGGAGAATTGTCAGAGAATCTCTTACTAAGCCTAAACCATCGGAACTTGGAGTGAAAGATCCATGAACATCAGATCAAACGAGCAGTCATCTTCCGATTAAACGCAAGAGATGAAACTAAGAAGGCAAAATCACGGAACAGAGAGGCATGGAATCAGGAAAAGCACTTATCTTTAGAGAAATTCCATCGCGAAAAACTGAAAGGACCTTCAAGCGAATGAAAACGAGAGAATCTAAGGGTTTTGAGATTACAGCAACGATGATGAAACTCAGGGTCTGACTGGTATGTCAGATGAATAACAGAATAACAAAATAACTGAAAAATTACTAGTGGAATGAACTGAACTGAATAATATTTTAGCTGAATAATTGTGAAATGCTGAAAAGCTACTTTTAGTAGATTAATCACGTTTTGTTTTTTTTTAGTTATATTTTTAACATACTAGCGGAATCACGTTTCAAAAACATAAAAAAACGTGAAAAAGTGAAAACGTGATGAATAATATGAATGGTAAAAAATAACAGAATCAAGTTTCCAAAACGTGAAAATGTGAAAAAGCTGCATACCATTCAAACCCTTAGATTTTTACAGAGTGAGACAAAAGATTTGAGGAAGAGAGTGTATATATTCATTTCATGTTATCTTTTGAGCGTTTTTGAGTTTATATTTGTGACAAATCACAAAAGCTACCTGAAAATTCTTCATGTCCAATGTATCGTAAGATATCTGGACCCACCATATATTTTATTACCTCTCTATAATGTTTATTTATGCTATTTCTTTCATTTTGTGATTGCTTTTGGTAGTCACTCCAATATGTTTTTGGTATGAATTTGAGAATGGAAAATTTTGAAAAGTAGAGGCTTTTAATTGCTGAAATTTATGTCATTTTTTTGTAAATAGTACATGTCAAAAGGTAATATATCTTATCTTTATTTTGTCTTTATTAATGACAACTGTCCATTTTCCCCCTATATTAGATTAAAATCTCTTTCTTAATTCAAATGTTGATTTTCTATATTGTTATTGTTATTTAGTTCACAAATTTGAGTACAGAATACTACAGTATGTTTTTTTTATTGTCAACATTAACAGATGTAATTATATGTGAGTAAATCACTAATCAGCGATAACTAAAAACCCTCTTTAGAAAAATAAGTACAAGATTTGGCAATACGTAGTTTGTATATGGGCCTACTGGGCCTTGGCCCATATAAATTTTAAAATCCTTTTCCTGGAACGAAACTTTAAAGTTAGTGTGTTTTAAAATTCAGGAAATAGCGGTCGTGCGATCAGAGATTGTGTGTCCGGTTACGAATCGTCGGTTCAGAAAAACCCTCCGAGAAGTTTTTTTTTCAGCTGTCTACACAATGTCCGGCGAGGAAGACGCCACTGTCAGGGAACCACTAGATCTGATCCGTCTGAGTCTCGACGAGAGAATCTATGTCAAGCTCCGTTCAGACCGCGAGCTTCGCGGCAAGCTTCATGTACGCTTACTCTTTGCCCTCCTCGTTTTTGAGTGTAGTAGTTACCTTAGATTGTGCTTTTTGTATCTATTTGAAACTCCTTCCTCATATAGTTCGTCTGAATCGTGTAACTTATATTGCCCGATTCTACTGATTCATGTCGAATTTGAGACTTTATTTTTGGGGAAAAGTCTAGGGTTTTCCTTGTGAAGTTTCAGTTTTTTAGAAAGGTTTCTCTAGCTATATGGCGATTAGCTGTAATTGGGGATTTTGGGTTGTAATCTATTGCTGGAGGAAACCTCAATTTCAATAGAGTTGGTAAATTTTGAAAGATTTCGACTTTCTTTTAAGTTGGTTTGATTTTGTTTGTTTCTCCTGGCAGGCGTTTGATCAGCATTTGAATATGATTCTGGGTGATGTTGAAGAAGTTATCACAACAGTAGAAATCGATGACGAGACGTATGAAGAGATTGTCCGGGTACGTGCTCTTAGCTTTTAGCTTTCGCTTTCATATCGTTAGAGAACAACTCTACAAAATGTCTTTTAGCTTTCACATTCATATCGCCTACGTACAAGTTTCAGCTCGATGAGTGTGTGTAACAAAAATGACAACTGATTATAGAACAACGAACACGGATCTTGTTTCTCTGAATGATAAGCTGTTGGATCAAAACTAGGAGGGAATTGCCATGTAAATGGCTGTTCCTTGAGTAGTGAAGTCTCTTTAAGATTCATAGGCACACATAAGTTGTTGAGGCTCTTCTAGTGTGCTAGTTTCTGATCTATTTAGGATTAAGTGGGTTTTATTGCCTCTCCTGTAATATGATTTGGGTTTTTTTTACTATTTGTGGTTGCAGACGACAAAGCGCAATATTCAGTATCTATTTGTGAGAGGGGATGGAGTGATATTGGTGTCTCCACCACTGAGGACTCAGACCTGAATCCGAAGTTTAAAGGAAAAGTCTCTTGTGATCTTCTTCTCTATGGGAGGCTTTGTGACTAAGTTAGTGCATTTCTAGTCACTTGTTGTTCTTAAACTCAAAACAGCTTGAAGAGGCTATGTTGCTTGTTTCCAGTGTACTTTTTGGATATTTTTCCCTCGCAATGCATGTGATATTTCTTAATTACAACCCAAAGTATCTTCTGAGTTTACAAATAGAGAGATGGGTTTCTGAACAAGTGCAACAAACAGGAAAACACTAATAGACAAAACCAAAGAAACATTATCATTTACGTATTTATTTATCTTCGTCTGGGTCGGGACTGAATCGGAGAACCCGATGATTGTGAGCCTCTGTAGTTTCTGCTTGGAGAATCCATTGGTCCTCTGTAGGCAGCAGCTTTGGGTAATGAAGGCGTTGGATCTACAGGGATTGACTCTGCAAAGCATGCTGTGTTCACACGAGTTCTCTCCATTTCTGGTTGTAGCAGTTCGCTTGAATACTGCTTCGTCAAAGCCTTTGTTCACGACAAAAATAACAAAAATGATTTACGATTCGAGGTTCTTAAAATTTGATTAAATTTGTTTCGAAAGAGAAGAAATATTCTTACGAGGAGGTCATCTGCAGAAACAGATGATCCTTGTTTGTCATCTGAAACAGTGTCTTCGCTGCCGCGAGTCGGTCTTCGATTATGCCCCGGAGTGGTCTCAACTGCTTCACTGATGCTCTCTATAGCAATCTCCAACAAAGTTCCTTGAAGAGATTTAAGAGACGCGGTTGCATCGCTTGTGAAATATAGATTCAGTACCGTCTCAAAATACTCAAGCTGCAACAGGTTGTTGTCAAAAACAGAATCAGCAAATCATAATTAAGATACTTGGACAGGAACTCTTATGGTGAAAAAGAAGAACATGTTACCTCAAACATCAGTTGGCAGAAACCATTTGCATCGATTGATCTCAGGTCATTTGATCTGTTTTCTTCCACAAGACTCAGAAAAGTGTCGATTAGACCTTCGATCAGAACGCCAAGAATCTTTTCCAGCAGGGGTTTTGCACCCGCAAAGACCTGCAGTTTTAGTTTCCAGGCCAAAATTAATTAGGGCTCGCACTAAGAACACACATTTAAAAGTTCAAACTTTTAAAGAACCAAAAATGATCACTAAGATTTCTGAACATAAAGAGCAATACCTCTGCATGGACAGCTACAAGAGTGTGCAAGAGCTCAACAGCAGCGTCTCGTATGCCCTGAAAGATTGGAGGATAAATTTTAAGTATTTCTTTTCTCCACAGAAATCAAGAGTAATAGTTATCATTAGGCAGAGATTTCTTACTTTCACTTGAGGTGCTGATCCCCATTGGATACCAGAGTCCAGCAAATAATTCGTGGCAGCTGTTCTGATCAAATTTGCCTGAGTACATGTAAAATTCTCGAAAGTTTTCATTTCTATATTTAACACTGTAGCGAAAGCATTTTTAGAGTTGCCGGGACGAAAAAACAATACCTTAGCAAAAGTGTAATGCTCGAGGACCTTCTCTCCAAGACCAGAGTAAGACATAATTAGATCTTGAAGATCGCTGCTGTCTTCATCTTTGTCCCTGGAAAAATGAAAATGAATCAAGTCTTACTCTAGCGAGCGAACGTTAACACCATAAATAAAATCACCCATGGGGGGCAATTTTTTTATTTATTATGAAACAAATCGAATTCAACCATTGGTACTTATTATCCAGTTTGAGTCATTTAACCATAAACGAGTATGCCCAACTTGTCTACCGCTTAGAGAAAGATAATTACTGACGTTTAGAAAATCACTAATGACGTCAAGTAAGCAAGGACCAACCTAAACTGCAACCAGGTGTATTTGAACTTGTTGTAAAGCTCTGAAGCAAGTTCATCTTTGCAATAACCTATATTACTTAAAACCATCAACAACCGCCTGTGAGGATCGACAACACTTCCGTAGGTGTTGACTGACTGTTCTTCCTGATGATCATCGGAATATCCGTTTTTCCAATTCTCTCGTGTTGAGGTGCTTTGGGAAAGATCAGCACCAATTTGCTCCAGGTGGGCTGATACATGGGAAAAACAAATTAGAACATCACTTAATAATTATATAGTGTGTGCATTTTCCTGCAATCATGTGTCTGTTAATGGGAGTATGCAGGCATTTTACGTGGATTTTATCAAGGAATTATGGTGAAAAGTCGTACCAGCAAAATCCAGAAAGCAGTTCAAAAAGGCCAGTCTAACAGATATCAGAATTTCCTCAATCTGGGCAAACATATCTTCTGATTTGGCAGCTTCACCTTTGACAGACAATATCATCCTGAAAAAGGTTACACAGAAGTCAATTAGGGAAAGAAGCAACAACAATGAATTGAAAGTGCACATTTGTGTATGCACTTTCCTGACTAGCAATGAAAAGCATAAAAACGCCCATTTACTATCATACCACATGGCACACAAGGCAATACACAAGGCAATTTAGTTCACATGCTTTTTTTTTAATGTACAGGGAGAAGAGTAAACCCAAGGTGTTCTGGATATATAGATGTCTGGAACTCCGAACACAATAAAAAAGTAAAAACTGCGTCTACTTCCACATATATAAATAAAGAGCAATAATGCCATCTATCTCTATTTGTAGTGACAATGCAACTGTTTAATATCTTTTTACCAAAATACACTTGAAACTTACAGATTGATTTGTTCCATCCCAGAGGCAATAACTGAACGGAATGCAAGAGGCAAGTAAGAGATGGCATAAGGAGATTTATTCCTTTCAAGAATAGAAACGGGTATCCACGTTTCCTCTTTAGATATTCCTTCTGTGGATGACCTCATCCAAGAGCAAAGCCTTTGGATATAAATCTTAGTGATTTCCGCCTGGACTTTTCTTAGTGTGACGACTGCCATGACCAAAAAGCATACACATCATTTCAGTATACGTTAAAATTACACAACAAGATCAAGCTTCAAAAGAAAGTTGAAATACCAGCACTGTGGGGCGCTGAATCTTTGGCTTCAAAATCTTGGCATGCTTTTGATACTTCGTTGATGGCATCACTCATAAATGGGCGGAGAATGCATGATTCATCAAAATCACAAAATGTGCTGTGCACCTACAACAGCAGTAGTCATGAGAAGAAAATATTCAGAAGCACTTTATGGCACATATACCACGGGGTTTTATGTTCCAATATGGAAAAGCCATTTAACAGAAACAAAGAAAAAAGATTTCACCTTTCCTTCATAGACAGAAATAGTCTTTCGTATCATCCCAGCAACTTCTTCCAAAGAGTGAGTTGAATACCTTGCCTCACTGACCTTCTCCTCAGCTTTATTGGCTGAAGTATCACTAACCTGTGAGGACTGGACAGATAAGCATTTATATTCAATTCCAAATGAAGAACTATCTCCAACTCAATAATAGAAATAAGTAGGTACGCCACAGTATAAGGACCAATAACAACAGAATTAATCTACTCTTGGGGGAACATAGGTACATAAGCAGAAAGGATAGCTGTTAGTTACCTTAGCAAATTTTCCACTGAAAATCGATATAGCTGTTTTCCAAAACACAGGGATATGATGCACAAGCACAGCAGTCAATCTTTTAATGTATCTTCCCTTCAAAGCATCAATCTCTTCGCTGGGAAACTCCACTGATTGTAGGTCAACTTGAACTTCATTATTTTCAATAGAAGAGGCAGCATCTGACTAACGGATTGAAGAAAACGCATGTTATCATCTATTGAACTAAATCCTGAAACGTCTTCTAATGGTGTATAGCTATTCTTAATGTTGGACTCACATACGGAACGACGTTTTGTTGAATTTGTTGCCACTTCGCATCCGAGATGGCTTTCTCATGGGTCTCATTGCGCAAAATTTCCACCCTTGCTTCATGATCATATGTACACTTCTCAAGCAAGCCATGGATTCTATGATTCTGGTAAATTTAGAGCCAAACAAGATGACGTTATGGAGATAACACAATGATTGCAACAAAAAGTGTGGGAGCCACACGCACACACAAGTTAGATACTGTATGTGTGTGTTTCCCAATTCTATACATGTGCTAAGTTGAAAGTGAAGACAGCAATCATAAAGGAAACAAATGAATAATTTTATAAGTTAAACGTCACTCTGGTACTCTTAGCAAATCTATTAGGAAAACCAGATACTGCGCAAAACATAGCAAGAGAGAAGTAAGAGAGTGACATCCTCGAATATACCAACCTGAACATTTAGATAATGCCACACAGGATCAGAATCGGGTTCCAGCTCCAGCAAAAGCCTCACAGTGTTTTCAAGCTAAAAGATTTCAAAGTAGTTGTACAATTATGCAGAAATCAAGTAAATGGATCTATAACCAAGTAAAAAAATTAGTCAATTTTAGGTACAAAAAAGTGGAACATGCAGAAATATCTTTAATGGAAGTTAAGATTGATGACAGCAGATATGATGAACAAGAGACAGAATTATTGACTTGATAGCAGTATTATGCATTTGAAAGAAGGATTGTTCAGTTCAATTACTCGTTCACATTAGAATTAAATGAATAATAATAACTGACGTACACTTGTGAAGTCTATTTTTGGATCTTCCATAGACTTGTAAAGAGTGGCTTTAAATTCCAGCATAACCTTTTCAACCTCCTCGAGTACACGCTTGAGTATATTTACCTGAAAGCAGCTTGTTTTTCTGTTGTCAAGACCTTGTTATGTAAGTAAATAAAACCGTAATTATACTTAAAAAGGATTCAGTTCTTATGGAACTTGGATAGCATCTCTCTCAAGAGAAGGCATACATGAGAAGGGAGAGCAATAGATTTCGCCTTCTTGTATTCTCGAACAGCCAAATCATATTCACCCTTGCTAATACTAGTACGAATGATACTGGGTAAGTTGAAGAGTGTTCGGAACCTCTGCAGCATTCCTTGTACAGACCTGATTTTCTCAGCTTGAGCCTACAAATGATTGTGAAAAAGGAAGCATCAACAAATTGAAAGAGAGTAACAGCAAAAATCCAAAATCAGACCACACCAACCTGTCTCTCAAAAAGAGGCTCAAATGCAAGATTTGCCCTTGATGTTACACTTTTCATACAATTGAACAAATGAGTAGTTCCTGAGCCTTCTGGGTCATCTTCAATCCGCTTCAGTTTTGACTCAATATCTATAAAGAAAATCAATAGTCTAGAAATCAACATGATAGAAGAAAAACACAAATAATCCAATTAGTGCAATAGGACATACCATCTATAGTTGTTTTACATGACACGAAGCAGTCAAAGTTGTCTTTTACCAATTGCTTCCTTTGCAAATTTCGACCCTTCAAGTCACTTTTCAGGCCAAGGGCACCAGCCTCCAAATCTGCTGCACTTGTGTCTTGGTGAATGCGAGAAAGAAACAGCTTCGGATCGAAATGATCAGAGAAGTAAATCAATTTTTCTGCAAATACTCCAAAGACGGTAAATAGCATTTAGAAAACTGGAAACTGTGCATCGGATGAGCCATCCGAAAAAAAATCAAAATTTTCTTGTAAGAGCTATTATACAACTCAAGTTGTCGGTATTTGGAAAGAAACACATACCCCGAAGTGTATTATCCACTTTCTCAGCTTTTGATGGGCTGCCTGATGACTCAGTGATTAATCTCAGTGTCTTGTTGTCTATTATCCTATATAGTACACAGAGTCACGTTTTTAGATAAGTTCTACCATATCAAAGTCAAGAAAACAACGTATCAGACTGGCTTTAAAGGTAAGCTAAAAGAGAGAGAGCAAGTACCCTAATTTTAATGGATCAATGCATTCCATCCCACGAGGTAATGACTGCAAACTAGTCAGAACCGCTTTCTTCCCAGGTGCAGGTACCGTATTATCTAAATTCTGAACCACAGGGGCCGTTCTTGATTCCCGCATATCACGAACCCTACGAGCTAGCTGCGAAAATGTCATCAGAGTTAAAGTGTAGTGGACGGACATCGTTCCTTATCTATCTTGCAACATGACACTAATGGCGTTGAGTTTTCATGCTCTATACATCAAACTCCACTCTGGAAGCAAAGTGGTATTGTTCATTCACAGTAGTACTCCACTAATGGTATTCCAGCCATTTTACAAATCCACAAATCGATCAAATTCAAAGTGAGAGTAGAAGATAGGTACCTCAGCTTCATTAACGCGTTTCCAACAATCGGGCTCCTCTCCATCCCAAGCTCCATCATCCTCCTTCTTCGCTCTTCCTCTCTCCCGGACATCGCTGGCTCTTCCTTTCCCGGAACCAGCAGCACCCGTTTCCCTTTCCCTCTCCAAATCATCATCCCCGCTCGAAATGCTGAGCAATTCCACCTCCGACTCATCGTCCTCATCCATGGAAGGCTTCCTAGCAGCCGCCGCACCTCCGGCGGACTTCTTAGGCGGAGCAGCGGCAACCGGCTTCTTCGGCTGCTGCACAAAATTGGCAACAGGCTTGCGAGCAGAGGCGGAAGGAGGCTTCTGATAGGTAAGATCTCTCTGAGCCTGCTCCTTCAACGCCATTTGAAGAAGCTCATCTTCGTCCAGATCGTTGCTGTCGCTAGACATGATTCGCTGATCAGATGATCGTCAGTCTCCTCAGCTCGTAGAGATCTGAAGAGCTTCTAAATTCGATTTGTTCGACTAATAATTCACAGTTTGTGATTTGTGTGACAAGTTTTTTTGTTTCCAGAAATATTAATTTCTAAGATTAAAAAGCAAAAAAGGTTGTTGTACAGGGAAAAAATCAAAAGATGGCGATGATAAGAAGAGAAATATCTTCCGGTGACGGGAATAATACTCTCTTCTCTTCGTTAATGACCGACACTTGTAGTTGTATGGCCGCTGAATAATAACGAGTCACCTTTTTTCTTATGTTTTCTCAATTCTTTGATTTTAGGATTAGCAATAACACGTTTGCTAATACATTTCCTAATTCCATTTTTTATTCATTTATGTAATTAAATCTTCGTTTTAAAAAACATTTCCTTAATTTTATTATCACGAGAAAAGCAGAATCCAACAAAAATAATACAATCAGAAATTACATTTTATAACCAAAATAGAAGAAAAAAAAAAAAACAATTAGGCTTTTTCATTTGTCGAGGAAAAAAAGAAAGTATATATACTTAACGAGCGTTAGGAACTTAAGAATCGTCAAGTGTATGTACACGGCGTTTTATATTTTCTATTGCGCTATCAACAACCCTAGGGAAGCTTCACGCCGGTTTCACAAAGAAAAGCTTCGCTATTCTCTTGTCTCTACTCTTTCTCTCTGCGCCGCGCTCTCTCTCTCTCCCTCTGAAACTCGCTAACCCTATCGGTTGATTCCTCTCCGAGATAAGGTAAACGCTTCTTCGATTCTCTCCTCTTAGACACACAGTATTGCTTTCTCGTTTTCCGGCTGAGGTTTCTGCCGATCTCAAATGGTACGGAGATTGATTAACCTAGATGATTCCGGTTCGATTGCAGAAAATTCACCTGGATTAGTCGGAATAATTGAGAACCGGCCCTGAAATTTGCAAATGGGTCGGAAGAAGACTAGTGCTCGAGGTGGTGATGATGAGCAGCAGCCCGCTGCGTCATCTCTCGTTGGTGTTGCTAAATCTAAGAAGAAATCCGTTCAAATTGATGACGATGAGTATTCCATAGGTACAGAGCTCTCCGAGGAGCCCAAAGCTGATGAAGACAAGGTGGTTATCACTGGGAAGAAGAAGGGTAAGAAAGGTAATAAGAAGGGTACGCAGCAGGATGATGATGATGGTGATTTTGCTGTGGAGGAAGACGACGTTCCAGAGATTGCTTTTGTAGGGAAGAAGAAGTCCAAAGCTAAGAAAGGCGGGGCTGTTAGCTTTGCGTTGCTTGATGACGAAGCTGATAAGGAGGAGGCGGATGATAATGAATCTGATGGTGACAAAGAGGATGAGCCAGTCATAAGTCTTACTGGTAAGAAGCATGCATCCAAGAAGGGTAAAAAAGGCGGCAATTCGTTTGCGGCTTCAGCTTTTGATGCACTTGGTGGTGATGATAATGATGACGACGAGGAAGTTAACAACGGGGATGAGGAAGAAGTGTCTCCAATCACCTTCTCTGGTAAGAAAAAGAAGTCCTCCAAATCTTCGAAGAAGAGCACTAATTTATTTAGCGCTGCTTTGCTTGATGAGGAAGAAGAGACAGATGCTTCAACCTCTAGACCCGACGAAAATGCTCTTGAAGATGAAGAGAGCACCGAAATCACGTTTTCGGGTAAGAAGAAATCTTCTAAAAAGAAGGGCAGCAGTGTTTTGGCCTCATTAGGTGATGACTCAGTGCTAGGAAAAGAAGTTGCTGATGAGACTAGTAAAACTACGACTTCTGATACTAAGAGTGTGGAGGTTGTAGAACCTGCCAAGAGTAAGAAAAAGAAGAAGAATAATAAGAGTGGAAGGACAGTACAGGAAGAGGATGATTTGGACAAACTTCTTGCAGAACTTGGAGAAACCCCTGCTGCTGGAAAACCTGCTTCATCGCCGCCCGAAGAAGAGAAAGTTCAAGCTCAGCCTGACACAGTTGCACCTGTAGAAGATGCTGGTGAAAAGGAAGGAGAAGAAGACACTGTTGAGACTGCTGCAGCGAAGAAAAGGAAAAAGAAGAAGGAGAAAGAGAAGGAGAAAAAAGCAGCTGCTGCTGCAGCAACCTCTTCTGTGGAGGCTAAGGAGGAAAAACAAGAAGAATCAGTAGCTGAACCACTACAGCCGAAGAAAAAGGATGCAAAGGCTAAAGCAGCAGAGAAGAAAGTTCCTAAACATGTTAAAGAGATGCAAGAGGCTCTTGCACGGCGGCAAGAAGCCGAAGAGAGAAAGAAGAAGGAAGAGGAAGAGAAATTGAGAAAGGAGGAAGAGGAGCGCCTTAGGCAGGAAGAGCTTGAGAAGCAAGCGGAGGAGGCTAAGCGTAAGAAAAAGGAAAAGGAAAAGGAGAAACTGCTGAGGAAGAAGCTAGAGGGCAAGCTTCTAACAGCAAAGCAAAAGGCTGAAGCTCTTAAGAGGGAGGTTTATAAGAACCAGTTGATGGCTGCTGGTGGAGGTCTCCCTGTTGCAGATGAGGGTGAGCCCTCTTCAAAGCGTCCCATTTATGCCAACAAGAAAAAATCAGCTCGCCAAAAAGTCAATGACTCTGCTTCTGGTCAAGCGGAAGAGGAGGATCATGCAGAAGAAGCAGATACTTTACGTGAAGTGGGTTCAAGAGACACTGAAAAGGTTGATTTAATAGAGCCTGCAGACACAGATGAGAAATCAGGACCTGCTGATGTAGCTCAGGAGAATGGAGTTGAGGAAGATGATGAAGATGAAGAGTGGGATGCAAAAAGCTGGGATGATGTTAATGTTACCTTTAAAGGCGATTTTGATGATGAGGAGGAAGAGCCTCAGCTTATAGTTAAGAAAGAAATAAAGGACGTCGAATCAAAGACACATGATTCAGGTAAGTATGAACTGTAGTTCTTTGTTCTTCTTCCTATTGTTTCATCGGCTGTCTGTTTATAACCTAATTTTTTGAACTTTCACGCAGACCCTGAAGCTGGAAAACCAACATCTAAAGCAGCAGGTGCAGCCAACCCAACAGCACCTGACACTAAAACTTTGCCTGAAGTAGAAGATGCTACACGTACAAAACGTGCTAACCGGGCAAAAGATGCGTCTAAAAAGGGTAAAGGCTTAGCTCCGAGTGAACCTAAAGAGGGTGAAGAAAATCTCCGCTCTCCCATTTGCTGCATCATGGGTCATGTCGATACTGGTAAAACAAAGCTGTTGGATTGCATCAGAGGAACAAATGTACAGGAAGGCGAGGCTGGGGGTATAACTCAGCAGATTGGTGCAACATATTTCCCGGCGGAAAATATCCGAGAGAGAACCAGGGAACTAAAAGCCGATGCCATACTTAAAGTGCCAGGTCTATTGGTTATTGATACACCTGGCCACGAGTCCTTCACTAATCTGCGGTCAAGGGGTTCAAGTTTGTGTGACCTTGCAATTTTGGTGGTTGACATAATGCATGGGTTAGAGCCACAAACCATTGAATCTCTAAATCTTTTAAGAATGAGGGACACGGAGTTCATTGTTGCATTGAATAAGGTGAGACTGCTTGTCACTTTGCTAGAATATGAATTTTATTCTCTGTTTTTAATTCCCGTGTGGAAAATAAAACCTTCATCTTCCAGGTGGATAGGCTATATGGTTGGAAAACATGCAAGAATGCTCCTATCGTGAAGGCAATGAAACAGCAAACTAAGGATGTTAAAAACGAATTTGAGAGGAGGCTCACTGAGGTGAGTTATACGTCTAGTTTTTCTATACAAATGGCTTGAGCTATCACTTTGTGTACATATTTTTTCAAGCTTGGTGTTTCGTTGGTATTTCAGATTATAACTGAGTTCAAGATGCAAGGTCTCAACACTGAGCTTTACTACAAGAATAAAGAAATGGGGGAAACTTACAGTATTGTTCCTACTAGTGCTATTAGGTGTGAATTTCTGTTTATTGTTTCAGTTGACAGCTCAACAGACAACTCATCCATCCTATATAGTTGGTTAACTCTGGTTCTTGATATTTCAGTGGAGAAGGGATCCCAGATCTTTTGCTGTTGTTGGTTAACTGGGCTCAGAAAACAATGGTTGAGAAACTTACATATGTTGACGACGTGCAGGTCTTTCTCAATTCTCTTTTACGGATTTCTGCATTACTTCAGCATGATCATTCTTAATCTTTCTTGAAATGGTTGAACAGTGTACCGTCTTGGAGGTCAAAGTTATTGAAGGCCATGGAACAACGATTGATGTTGTGCTGGTAAACGGTGTACTTCATGAAGGTGATCAAATCGTCGTTTGTGGGTTACAGGCAAGTAGAAACCTTATGATTTAAACCCAAACAAGTCAATGCACTGGGTATAAAGTACACAAGACATAGAACTTTGAAAAGTAATGTTATTTCTTTTTCTCCTATTTCAGGGACCTATAGTCACAACGATTAGAGCATTACTGACTCCTCATCCAATGAAGGAGTTACGGGTGAAGGTACTTTCAGATACTCACACTTCATGTTTCTTGTTACCGTTATTACTTCAGAAACGTGGTTCATTTAAATTGTTTCGAAATTCCTTTTCTAAACACAATGTGTATTCCTGGTGTGACATTTCAGGGTACTTATGTGCATCATAAAGAAATAAAGGCTGCACAGGGTATTAAAATTACTGCCCAGGTGATTTGACCGACTCCATAATAATCTTAGCCTCCTGCAGTTAAATTTACTGATGTTTGAATCAAGTCCTGATGATCGTTTCCCGTTTTTTTGGTTTGTGTTTAAAAAGGGCCTTGAACACGCTATCGCTGGCACTGCGTTGCACGTGATTGGACCGGATGATGACATCGAGGCAATTAAGGATCAGGCGATGGAAGACATGGAGTCAGTTTTGAGCAGGATTGACAAAAGTGGTGAAGGAGTTTATGTACAAGCGTCTACATTAGGGTCATTGGAAGCATTACTTGAATTCTTGAAGTCCCCAGCGGTAAAGATACCTGTCAGTGGTATCGGTATAGGGCCCGTGCATAAGAAGGATATCATGAAGGCGGGAGTGATGCTCGAGAGGAAGAAGGAATATGCTACGATCTTGGCTTTTGATGTGAAAGTGACTACAGAGGCCCGTGAACTTTCAGACGAGATGGGAGTGAAGATCTTCTGCGCTGATATCATCTATCACTTGTTCGATCAGTTCAAGGCGTACATTGAGAATATCAAAGAGGAGAAAAAGAAGGAATCAGCCGATGAAGCAGTCTTCCCGTGTGTCCTTAAGATTTTGCCCAACTGTGTGTTCAATAAGAGAGACCCAATAGTCCTTGGAGTTGATGTCGTCGAGGGTATACTTAAGGTATCTTTTATAATTTCCTAGATTTTTTCTCTTTCTCCCACACATGTCCTTTCTAAGATTCACACTTTCTTAACATTTGTCTTTTTTTATGGTTTTTTTAGATTGGAACTCCCATTTGCGTCCCAAGCAGAGAGTTCATCGATATTGGCCGTATTGCTTCTATTGAGAACAACCACAAGCCTGTTGACTATGCAAAGAAGGGCACCCAGGTGGCGATTAAGGTAATATAATGGGAGCAATCTCGCAAATCTTTTGTTTACAGGGAGAGACAAGAGCTATTGTTGCTCTGGGGTTTTAGTTTTACACATTCTCACCTTATAATCGGATGCTTTTCTCTGGTATACAGATTATTGCTTCAAATCCTGAAGAACAGAAAATGTTTGGGAGGCACTTTGACATGGAAGATGAGCTTGTGAGTCACATTTCGAGGAAATCTATCGACATTCTCAAAACTGACTACCGGGTAAGTGGAGAAGAAGATGTTTTCTCTTTCTGTGTTTTCTTCTAATCATCATTCATTCTGGCAAAAAAAAGAATGAACTAAATCACAACAACCCCAAATTAATTGCAGGATGAATTGTCCATGGATGAATGGAAGCTAGTTGTGAAACTGAAGAACATCTTCAAGATACAGTAGATCCTCCCCAAACATTCAAAGGTGTGTTTACTTTGGAGCTTGAAACACTCACTTGCCTTGTTTTGCCGTGTCTGCGTCGATGTAGAATGAACAGATTCATCTTCCTGCTTCTATCCGAATCATTCACAGAAGATTTTAGAGACACACAAAAGAGTGTTTTTTTGTTTTGTTTTTTTTTTGGGTTTTCCTTCTCCCTGAAAAGTGATGAATAGTTGGTTCATGAACGAGGCAAAAATTGCAGGGAAACACGAGGTTGAGTCTTGAGATATACAAATATCATCCTTATATGCCCTTTCATTGTTGACTTAATTTCATTTTTGTTGATTAGGAAGAAGAAAAATAATATGATCCAATAAGTGTTTTATTATCTAGTTAAGTGTTAAATCTTGGTTTTAGATTTTAAGAGAAACTGTAGCAAAAATCACATCTAATATACACATATTACTATCTACGGTGTAGAAGTCTTGGTAACAAGTTCAGATTCAGATTTAGTTAATATGATTTTAGTTTTTCATTTCAAATAACAATTTTTTATTTTGATCATGTTAAATTTTTGACGGCACGAAAATATCTTTTTTTTTTTTTGTATTCGTAATGATGTAAAAAAGCATTGAATGCAAATAATACATAAGAATAAGATTAATTAGTATACGACAACGATTATAAAGTAGCTCTCTTTTTTACTTTATACATGTTGTGTCGAGATCATCGATATGTTATGTTCAATGTTACGAGTGACCTATATTGAACTCTGATCCATTGCTTTTTTTTCTTTTCGAAACGTCATTTTTTCCGCGTAATCTTAAATTATAATATATTTACGTGATTCAAAAACTTACAACGATTAGTATTTAAAATGGTTTTTGTTCTCCTTTAATTTGCACCAAGAAAAATTAGCACATGGTATATGATCGATTGATATCTTTTTATTTTATTTTATGAGAACCCTAAAATGCCAAAAACAAGTTTTCCTTCAAAGAATACCAATTTTTTTTTTTGGTTTTTTCTCTTTCTAAAATACAAAATTTAGATTGTAGGATGATGGGTTGCTAAAAGATTAGCAAGGGAGACTAAATCATTTAGGACCCCTCTTAAAACGATTATTGTTTCATTGCAATTCCATTTCAAGATAACGTTGCCTTATACATACCGAAGTTCCCGTGGAAAAAGAAACTCATCATCGTACACATCTTTAATTTACAATATCACCGTAAAAGAGGTTTCTCAAACCTCGTTACCAAATATAAAATTACATCTTGAGAGTTAAAACATAAGTGTGCTTGTAGTAATTTTGATAATCTGTGTCACGATGATGATTGAAAGTAAAAGAGTTTTTGTTCACGTACCGTAAACACACCGCTAAATTTCATAGATTTTCAACTGAAAACTCCACTCTCAGATCGGCAACACATTCTTTAATTAAGATGTTATCACAAACATCTCAAAGTCCATGTAAACCAATAAGCTTAGTCAAGCCAAACGTAACCGCCATAGCTAACCACCCTCCAAACAAAACCCTAGCCGACGACCTAACCGCCGGAGCCTTCCCTAACACGGCTCCTAACCATCCGAAAACCACAAGAGCCACCGTAACCGCTGTCACAACCGCAATAATCCTCACTCTATACTCCTTCACAAAGGCAGCCGCCAAAAGCGGCACAATCGCACCCGCGGAAAACGCAAGTGAAGATGCAGCTGCCGCTTGTAACGGACTAGGAAGCTTCTCTTTCTCTATCTCCACACTCTCTCTCTCCATCTGAGCTAACTCGATGTCGTACTGAGAGTAAACGGAGACGAACTCTCCGATCGCCATACTACAAGCTCCGGCGACCATTCCGGCGAATCCAGAGAGAATCATAGCCTTGACGTCGTGTTTCACGGCGCCGACTCCCATCATCAAAGACGCCGTGGAGACGAGACCGTCGTTGGCTCCGAGCACTGCGGCGCGTAGCCATTGAGCGCGTTTAGCGTAGTCAAAGGTGGTTGATTCCTTCTCTATGTCCATGTTCGTGTTGTGAGCTTGATCCATTTTTTTCTTTTGTAAGTTTTTATTTATTTTTGTTGAGTAGAGAATCGAGTAAGTGTGGGGAACACACGCCTAGGCTTAGTTCTATTTATGGGCATTTGAGGTTTACTTTTTGGCTTGGTGGAGACAATATGTGGAGCATCACCACTAATTGTTTTTGTTGTTTCTTGGTATATTAATTTATAAAATTGGAACGAAAAAAATGTAATGAACGGCTCTAAGTAAGGATTAGAAAAAAAATGTTGTTTGTGTTTGCGACTGAAGAATAAATTGAGACATGGATTTTTTTTTCTTTTTACATTTTAACTTCATTGTCTATGCTTCGTGTTAATATTACAAAAATGTGGTTTTCAACGTTAATTACAGGTGGGAAACAAAAAAAAATGAGGTGAAAATCACATTTTTGTATGTTTTCTCACCATTTTTATATAATTAAGATAAAATCCTTAGTGAGGCCAAAAAAGGCAGTTACGTAAGAAGCTGTTCTGTCGTCTTCATGATCAAAGGCATGCATGTCTTCCAGGGGAAAAGAAGAACATAACTTAAATAAAGGAAAAAAGGAAAATTCAACTTGATCCATTACTATACGCAATCTTTATCCCAATTTTAGTTTATCGAGCATAATTTCAACTTTATCCATCACTTACTAATTTTATGATATTTATTATTTCGTTTCTGGTTTTCTTGTATGGTCCTAGATGAAACCATCAGGTACGTAAGTGAACATTTTGCTGATGTTTTATATATGTTGTATAACGGCAAACATATGGTTTAAGAATGTCAGCAAAACTGTTCTTTTTTTTCCATTAAATTCACAATTTCTCATCTTTATCTTAATCACAAGAAATATTCGGTAGCGTTTTTCAAATCAGTTGGTTTTTTTTGGGAGAATTGGCAAAATGCCTTATTTAAGTTTTTAAATTTGAAAAATACACTGTTATTTAAATTTTTTAAAATGACACTTACTTATATTATATAAAAACAAATAAGTTTTTCTTTATCTGACTTAAAAGAGATATTACATATTTTAATAAATTAAAATGAAAATTCGTAATTATTAATATTAATCTATTTGAGAAAATTAAAATTCGAAATTATTAATTATAATATTAAATTATTTTAGACAATTAAAATTCGAAATTATCAATTCAAGTATTTAAAAATTCATCTCCAACAAAAAAATAGTTTATTAGTATATTATTATTTAGATATTTTTTTAACTAAAAATATTTTGGTCCATCATAAAGTTTCTAGGAGTTAAATCTAAATATAATTTAGCTAAAGACCAAATCAAATGATATATGAACTGCAATGATGATTCAAATTCCAAAATTATGTGTTTTCATTCTTTTATTTATTTATATATATTTATTTATATTTTTAATTAAAATATTAATCAAATTCCAAAATCATGTGTTTTCATTCTTATATTCATTTTTATATATTTATTTATATTTTAATTAAATATCAAATGTATTACCAATTTTTAATTAGATTGATTTAGACATTTCATTAAAAAATAAGTATAGTTTTTTTTTTAAATGAATAATGGTGTAGTTTTCAAAATACAATCTCTTTTCAAGGTATTTTTCTAAATTTTCTCTTTTTTTCTGGTTTATTTTGAAAAATCTCTTTGTTTTTCTCTTTACTTTCTCGTTTCTTTTTTGGTAGTTATTTACTTATTGATACCCTTTTTTTCGACAAGTAAAGGAACGAAAAAGGAGAAAAAGAAGGAAGATGAGTAGCTAATCAATCACACAGTTTCTATACATTCATTTAATTTTAGATTTTAGTAATGTTTGACCAAAAGTTATCAATAATTGTAGATTGTAGTAGTGTTTGACCAAAAGTTATCAAAGTTGAATGGATTAATCACAATATTACATTGAACAGAATTAGTAAGGTTTCATTAAATAAACAAACTATTAAAGGCTGTAGAAAAAACCTAATAAAAAATTGGATCAAGATAAAATAAAAAGAGAGTTTGAGAGAATCACACCACCACGTCGGGCATGCAATAGCCCTTACTGACTCAAATACATATTAAATCGAACGATTAGAATATGTTATAGTAAAATCCAACTATTTAGCAATCAAATACGAATCAGATGTTTGTCCACGAAACAAATTCTTATATCCTCTGAAGATGGCAATGAGCAACTAAATCCGTTTAAAAGTGAAAAACCTAAACAACAAAATAGATAGTGCCATGCAAGTAAGGCCGGTTTGATGAAATATATATTAAGAAAATATTATAGAAATGGATTGATGAATTGGAAAGCACTGGGAAAACTAGAGGAGATAAAATAATATGGAAAGAGATGGATAATAAAGAAAGAGGAAGAGTGTGGTTTCCACACGAAGAGCACCATCCCTCACCATCATCACCCACGCATCACCACACTTGTACATACACGTTACACCAGTGGTGTGACAACACCACTCGAGTCATCCTCAGATCGATTTATATTACTCTCCAATTAATTGTGGTAATGTAATATAATATATATATATATATATATTGTGGTAATATAATATATATATATTGTGGTAATGTAATATATATATTGTGGTAATGTAATATACTATATATATACCATATATATAACGCAATTCATATGCATACGTACTCGCCTACGTACATCTATATACTCACGTTGTCACAAACGATTAAAATTGCTAAAGTTTTGAAATCATATGTATATTTTAAAAACACTTTGGATTATATTTAATAACCAGAATGTCTGTGGAACATAGTATACAGTGTGACTATATGCTCATAAAGATCCAGCAATTTTCTTGTAGCATAATATATAGAAACTGTTTGATGAGGGTATAAATATCCTCGTCCTTTTTTAGCCTATAAAAGAGATGCTAATATACATACATATATTATATATAGAATTTGCATTATGCATGCATGCATGCTGCTGGTACATGTTTTTATCAAGATTTGATTTTACACTTGAGAGTT